TTATTCAAAAGCCTCATCTCCAAATACAGTTACATTCTGAGATAACTGGGGGTTAAGGCTTCAACATATAAATTTGGGAGTGACATGAATCAGTTCATAACAGCCCTTAAACCAGAAAGAGGATCCCAAAAGATCTCCTTTTCCTTCATCTCTTATGTCAAGGCCAACCTGTTCTAACACTGAAATATATCTGCATACCACCTAAACTCCTTAGGGTTGAACTTCAACTTCGTGACTTTTCTTATTTAAAAAGGTCAACTACTTGCTGTTTCATCACCTAAAATTAACATTCTTTCCTTTCAGTCTTACTCCACACACAAATCATCTTTCAAGATTTGCTTCAATATTACTTCTCCTGTGAAGTTCTCCTTGACTCTGCTCTACCTCTTGCTATCACTGAACATACTATATTGCAAAACTGGATCTGTGTCCACCAGAAGATTATGAGCACTTTGCAGAGGGCAAGTGAGGGAGAAAAAACATAATGTAGCCCTGAGGTTTGGCTGCATGACTGTAAATCCTAGGTTACCTTTTTTTTAAAAAAAAAAAAACTACGTCAATTTTGTCAAGTCACTTAAATTCATCAATAAATGGGAATAGGAATAATACTTATTTCACAGAGTTATGAGAAGTAAATGAAGTCACCTATGTGAAGCAGTTAGCATGAAGCAGAGACTCAATGAGAGCTAGCTATTTTTATAAAACCTATAGAATATAACAACCACGACCACATCTTTTATTGAGCATATTCTATATGCCCTGTGCTATGCGAATTGCATATATTATCTGTTATAAACCTATAAGAAATGTAGCAGATATGTATGAGTACCTCCTTTTATAGATGAAGAAACTCAGTTCCTGAGACAGTAAGCAGCTTCTGGAAGGACTAATAGCTAAAATTTAGTGGAAAGGATTTAAGCTGAGGCTTAAGATGTTTCCAAGCATATTGTCTCCATTTTGACATCTCCAAATGCTAATGCAATGCCGGGGTCAGAGTGGGTGCTCAATGAATATTTTTTGAATGACTTAATACATTATTAATCCACTTTTAAATTTACATTAAATTTTAAATATAATTTTTAAAACTAATTTAATTAAATTAATTTGATTTTAATTAACTAAAAAATTAAAGCCTCCTGCTGAGGCTATTTTCCTTTACTCAAAGTAAACAATTCCCTCTGAGCCACTCCATCCAAAGGCCCTCTGTTCTCAGCCTTGTGAATGTTTTTCCTAATACTTTCCCACCATTGAAGACCTGGTGTCCAAAAAGACTTGCCTACCCTGACTTATTGTACTAAGCAGACATTCCCTCTCCTCTCCTCCCCTTCCCTCCTCCCCTCCCCTTCCCTCTCCTTCCTTCCTTCCTTCCTTCCTTTCTTCCTTCTTTCCTTCCTTCCTTCCTTCCTTCCTTTCTTCCTTCCTTCTTCTTTCTTTCTTTCCTTTTCTTTCCTTTTTTTTTAATTAAAAGGACATATTTAACTGCCAGCCAAGATTTCTGATCAGCAACAAAAGAACCTCAATTGCCAAGCTGATTGACATATACATCCAAATTTTATATCAAAGTATTTCTTAACTGATACAGAAAGACATAAACAGGGCCTTGTATTAAATTCACTCCATAAGTAACGCTTGACATGAACATAGAAGTAAGTGGTGTACACATTATTTTTGGAATAGAAGTAAAATATGTGCCAAAAAGGAAGGTAGTTTTAAAGGTGATAAAAACTATCAGATTTCTGCTGAAGGCGCGCGCGCATTCTCTCTCCCTCTCTCTCTCTCTCTCACACACACACACACACACACACCAGCAGATGCACTAGCTGAAAGCTACTGTACATACAAATAGTAATTTGAATTTTGTGCTCATCTTCTACTAATGCTATTCATTGACAAAAGGCCTACATTATATCCCACACCTTGTTAGCCTCTTCTATAAAACAGGTTCTTCCTCATTTAAATAAACTCCCTCAAAACACAGATAAATAATTAAAGTATTTTTAATAGAAGTCCATGCCATTTATATCTCTTAAATGAAGCCCATCATATGAACCTCAGTATTAATTAATTTAATTAACATGAACCTTATTTCTACAACTTAGATGAACTTCAGTGATGCATTTGCAGAAGATGCAACACTGGGTCATGTCATGCACTCATTTTTTTAATGTTATGACACAATAGTGCTACAGTTACATGGTGACATTTTAATAATCAAACACTTATTTGGAAGTTTTAAAAATATCATATGTTAAGGTGTGCCTTTCCTGCAAGACATGCCATCAACTGGTGAATTTCAATGTGTTTTACTCCATTAATTGCAGGTAAAAATATATATTTTTTTCTTTTTCTTTCTCTTTTTTTTTTTTTTTGAGACAGGATCTCACTCTGTCACCCAGGCTACAGTGCAGGAGTGTGATCACCAGTCACTGCAGCATTCACCTCCTGGACTCAAGCAATTCTCCCACCTCAACCTCCCAAATAGCTGGGACTACAAGTGTGCACCACCATGACCCGGCTGATTTTTAATTTATTCTTTATTTTATTATTTTTTTATTTTTGGTAAAGACAGAGTCTTCCTATGTTGCCCAAGCTGCTATCAAAATTCTGGTCTCAAGCAGTCCTCTTGCCTTGGCCTCCCAGATTGTTGGCTATTTTTAAATTATCATTTTATAACCATGGTTACTTACAATAGTTACTCTGTCTTTCTAAAAATACTACATACTTTTATGGGACATTTATAATAAGGTAGCAGTAGAAAAAACTGTTCTTGAGTGTTCAGCATATATTAGAAGTAATATTTTTATATGAGATAATGTTGAGATAAAAGTATCTAGGGACTTAGTAACAAATATTTCAAAAAATTAAATCATATTTTGCATAATATAATTAATGTTAAAAGTGTTTTGCTATTTTTTATTTAAATCTTGCAAGAGATAGTCTTTACATTGCACATGGTCCCTAAACAAAATGAGAATGTTATTGAGCACAATTTAATGTATGTATTTAAATACAAATGCAAAACTCATTTTTAAGTAGAACTTTGGATAAGTTTGTTATTGGTTGACAGTGTTCAAATGGATGTCCTTCACTTCCAAACGACAGATGTAATCTTTCAAGTGCAAGCAGCTCTACTAGTGTGGCATGTTAGTCTCTCTCTGCTCCTTAACTTAGCTATTTCAAGGGAAAGAAGAAGAATATAATTCGGTAAGTTGGGAAGGTGATATGGACATGTATAGGAGAGCCCCTTTGTCTTCCCTCTCTTTAGGGAGCAACTATTCTGCTCTGGTTCTCCAGACATTAAGTTACACAGTGAGAGGCTCTGCTTTGGCTTCAGTCCAGCTTTGTGACTGAGGGGCAACTTTGCCTAAAACTAGAGCTCACTAGAAGGAAGCCCACTTGGAGGTAGAGATATTTCATGTTTTCCTTTACTAGTGTCATCAGAAATAAAGGTGATATTTTGGTTTCCAATCTACTCATTTCTCATTTTTCTTTTCCAGCTGATTCAGAACGTGGATGGCAAACATGAGTATTTTTATTGAGCTCTCTCAAACTCCAAATGAAAAAGTATACTTCACCGCTTTTATTCATTGCAGTCCACCAAGATGGGGATTTCTCCCCTATCAAGAGACATAAGGAACATAAGACAAAGATAATTAAGGGATTTGTATAATACCATTAGGCATGGTCCCCATATTCAAAACAAGTCAATTAAAGGTTAATAAAACTACCTTCTTTCAAGCAAAAAAAAGTCATGTATTTCTTTCTAAGGATTGTGTTATATTTCTATTTATCCACACATATTTGTGAATGTACATGATATCAATATATATTTATATGTTTGAATAATTTTATTCAAAGGATCCTTGCCCTTTGTGTTTCTATCTTACAAAGAAAATATTAAAAGCAAAAACTGTACATATCAATTTTCATACTTTGTGGAACTTACATTGGACAGGTACTACACTTGCTCTAAAATTCAAGTAACTTTAATTTTAAGATGTCTCTTCCTTTGCATATGTAAAATAAGCCACAGAATTTAGTCATGCCAATATACAGCAAAACAGACATGCATTTGCAAGGCTTTCAAATGCTAGAAAGTGAGAGCACCAAACTATGATATCTGTTCATTTGGGTTGTCATTTCAAGAGACATAATGTATTGAAAACAATCACACACATTTTTAAAAAGAACTGGAATAAAAGAGTCCATTCTTAAAAAGACATAGCTGTTGAAATGTCAAGTAGCTTATCCTAAAAAAGAACTTACTACATAGGAAATTCACAAAGGATAGTTGCTTTTTCTCTGGTGACTAGAATCCTACTGCTGTTTAAAACAAAGAATATCCGCAGGTTTCAGTGTTAACTTATGTCAGCTTATATAAAATCCAAAGAATTTCTATATAAATTATAATCAGAAGATACAAGGTAAACAACACAAATTCTCAGACTCCTTTAAAGATAACTGAAAAGCTTGTTTATGTCTTAAAACAAAGTATTATATTTGTATATACGATAAAGTACAGGATTCACATTTGTTTGCAACATTCTATTCTAACAACCACTAAGCTAGAGTTCTTACCTTTGTACATAACTACACTTTGCACATCTAAGTTTGAGCTACAGCAATCTAGAGGAAATGGAGAGATGTATTTTTAATCACATCCTCCTAACGTTACTTATCCCATCCATTAATTTTTGACTAATACAATGAAGTGGTGTTAATCCTTATATTGTGATAAACTGTTTTCTCATCCTCATCCTATTAACATAGGAATATGGACTTTTAGTTCCTGTCAAGTGAGTCTTTATTATAAAGATGATAGAATGGAAATGCATGTGAGTCTCTGTGATTTTGGAATATGCACCAAATACTGACTGCTAACAGTTACGAATATTTATCAGTTGCCGTTATTAAAAATGCATTTTTTCTCCAAGAGTTTTTAAGTAAACAATTTCAAAATGTTACTCCATCTGTCAATGTTTTCTGAAAACGGTACAAACCTTCTTTTTTATCTTCTGGAGTAATCTTCACTTTTGTATCTGTTATATCTTTGAATGAGGCCAGAAAAAGTACTACATCTCCTTTTTCATTCTTTATGGGAACAATATCCAGTAGGCACCAAAATGGAGACCCTGCAACAGTAAAAACAAAAAAACAAAAAATACAAATCAACCATTGCCTTGTGTTATTTCTATGGAAATCTCAATCATTAATAAAAATAAAGCCCTTAGTGTTTTCTTCAATCCCACAACTCCCTCCATCTTAAAAATGTCAGTTTTCAGATTCCATAAATTTCTATCCTATATGCATCTCTCTTCATTCCAAAGGAAATGCTTTTTCTGAAAATAAAGAAGTATTTTAAACAAAAACACTTGTCTGTGCTGAGATATTTCTGCTTACATTATTCAAACTGCATTTCTTCTTTGGACTTGTTGATGCTGAAGCATTCCACTTTATGAGAGATTGCCCCTTCCCACCCCCAGCACACAGTTTTCTTCAATAAATACCTTTGTTTGGTATGAGTTTGCCAGAGGTTTATATAGTCAATTTAAAAATCAAAGCTTGTACAACAAAATGATGAAAATAAAATAAAAAAGATGAAAAATACCAAGTTTGGGGGAGCATGCATAGCCACTTAAACTCTCATACATTGCTGGCTGGTTGCAAATTAATACATCTACTTTAAACACAGGTAGTATTAAAATTTAATCTCACAATACTACATTATACATCAGCGTGAATGAGTGACTTACAATCATTTGAAACCAAATGGACGAGTATCACTAATATAATGTTGAGTAAAATACCTAAACACAAATGAGTAGAATGCAATAAGAATTTGTTTACATTAAGTACAAAAACAGGCAGAACTAATTTATGATGTTAAAAGTCAGGTTAATGGTCACTTTAGGGAACTTGTGATTAGAAAGGCATTCAGGTCTGGGAGTTGTAGGATGCTGGTCAAGTTTTGTTACATGATCTTTATGTTGTTTACATAGGAGTGTTCAGTTCTTAAGTGCTTACATGTATTTTTCAGTAAGTATGTTACATTTCAAAAAATATTTGAAGAAGAAATAATCAAATTCAATTCAATTTTTGAGCAAAAAACCATGAGAAATATCATTAAGATTCAAGTTCAAGATATAGTAGCCAAATGGTATTGCCTAAAGCTTGTATTTTCAATTTTTAAACATATTTTAAAATATGTATTTTAGAAATATGTAAAAAAATCTTGCACTATGTTTCCTACTGAAAGGCATTTTGGACAGGAATATTTGAAAATGATGATAAAGTTGTTGTTGCTTAAAAACTAAACTATTAATCTATTTATAAATAATTTTCCTTCATCTTCTTTTCATGAGGGGAAAAAGACTTCAATCTTGTGAATTCTCATCTTATTTGGGTGTTGATTTCAAGGTCAGGGTACAAGACAAAAATATAAGAGGGTCAAAAATATCCTTGATATTTTGAGTTGTTTTGCATACACTGTATTAGATCTCATAATTTCCAACACAACTGATGTATTCATCCAGCCTTGGGATCTATCATTCTTTTCTGCAGTTAAACACCAGATGAAGCCATTAATTTATATTTAGGAGCCATCTGATATAAAAGTCTATTTTATTGTAGCTGCTGCTGTATTTGTTTAAAAGAATGGTTGGATTATGTATGATGTACTGCTCTCATAAGTTACACATGGAATATAATAAAATATGCTTGCTCCTCTGTATTCTCCCAATAGCTTCAGAGTCATGATTTCCTCCTTTTTTTTTTTTTCCCTATGGTATCCCATTTCATTCATCTGCCCCAGTGTCTATGCCATGGCAATATCATTTCATAGCTGATCACCAGGCTCTAGAAGACCTGGGATCTAACCACGGTTCTAACACTAGCCATGAAACGATAGGGAAGTCAATTAACCCATCTGGAACTTGGTTCCTTTCATTGTAACATTCTCACATCCTTCACTCCAGTAGTGAATACAGTGACCCCAAAAATGTTGAGACAATAAATCAACTCAAATGTTTGTGATTCATGGAGAAGCCTCAAAAATAAGCCATACCCATAGCCAAACACTGCTATCCTCATCATCCCAGAATGATTCTTAATTGAAATTTTATCTGTGGTCACCATTTCAGATTGGGAGCCTTTTTCAATGCTGTAGCTATGATAGAAACAAAAAGACCATCGGGCTAAACTAATAATCAGATCTTAGAGAAAGTAATAGTGGGGATACAAAGAATGGTATGAATCTGACATTGTGGTTGAAATTTTAAAGCACCTCTCTCTCAATGGCACCTCTCTCTTGCAAGAACATCACCAAATCATAACCAAGCCTATTAATTTTCCTGAGAATATTCTATCTGTGTACTCAGACAAGTATCATTACTGTCTCCAAAGAGCCTTTGCATAGGTGCACCAAAGTATTTCGGAGAGAGCCAAAACCACAGCATGAGGTGAAAGCCAAAGAAATAGCTGTTGATATGGCAATATTCACTGATCAGCCTTTGAGGCACAGCCATCATTTCACATTATATTCTAGAAGAACTGAAAGCTTACTTTGAGATTTGTCTTTTAACTTACAGTGATGTGGTCACTGACATTTTATAAATTCAATAAAACTTCATTAATTCAGATCTTTCTAAATTCAAGCTTTGGAATGATTTTACATGAACTAGACTGATGTCTACCTTCCCAGTGCCTATATGACAAAAAACCTTATGAAGGAAACAGTGTAAAGGGCATCAAAACTATTTCCTTTCCTTTCCTTCCTTCC